GAGACCCCTGGTTTAAACTATTGGATAACTATTGGTTTGGTGCTAGTCCCAGAGAATAGGAAACACGGTATGGTGAAATAGTCAGAGCTGTTTTCCGTTTTTACTGGCCTAGCTTCAGTTAGTGCAGGAAACTATTTTGTTCAAGCAAATCAAGATACAAGTATGTTTTCCTAAAAGAATGAGAGGTAATAAAACCTATTTAAGAACAACTATACATACAAGTAACATCTATTCCATCTTGCCTGATGAAGAGTTCTGTGTTCTTCAGAAACTTGCATGCACTAAATTCTACCAAAATAGAACCTTTAACTAATATATGTCTCTGAATAGAATCAGAATTATTGCATATTTCTCCTGCTGATGACTCTGCTTCATGTAGATGTTAAATAGCATGGAGGACAAAAATGAATGCTATGAATTGTACAGATATCATAGAAGAGAAAGGATTCCCCATTAACAGAAGGATCTTTGCTAGATAGAGAGTAAACAGCTCTGAAAGCCTTAAGGCATTTCTGCATAGCCAAAACCCTAACTTGAATTGGTAAAGCAAGCCAAGTACTTAAGAGGCTGTTTGAATCATGTGTATTATGTGATTAAATCAGAGTTAGTTTTGTTTATTATTCTTGTATTGATTTAATTCTTCCTCTTTGTCTTGTATTGATCTCTACTATGTGCAAGAGGAACATTTAGACAATGGTTGTCCTTTATTCTATGAAGAAACAACAAAGAAAGCCTGGCAACAAACTGTTAAATTAAACATATTCCCCAAGGAGTACTGCCTGGAATGAGTATCTGGGTACAGACAAAGGTCTTTTGCACTTTCTTTGAAGTGTCTCCTTTGCAGTTCTTTTGTATAGATGATACCAGCTTTCACCTTCGGAGATGCCTATGAACAGATCCAAGGTGATAGCTAATTTAAGTTACTCTGCATAGTAGCAGTCTCTGCCTGCCTGGCAAGCCCATTCGTCTGGAGCAACCCACAGTGTAGTAACACGTTGGTCCATACATAGAAAGATTTAACAGAATTAACTGGGGAAGGGGCAGATTAATCATCAGACACAATAATAATTGCTCCAGATATTTACAGTGTGGGCATTCCTATTGTGTTTTCATCTGACCATTCCTTTTTAAAACAAGAAATCATCTCTCAAAAAAGCGGTTACGCTGGTTATTTTTACTAGTGTGCATAAAATACTGTGTATGATGTTTTACTGTACTTAGCGTATCCAAGAGTCTCCATCCTTTTTGTCATAGGTGAATTTGGAGTGTCATAGCTGGTCACAAAACATTTAATTTCTCATAAGATAAGTGAGACTAAAAGAAAATGAACTTGCTCACCCAAGAACTTAAGTGTAAGGCAAAGGTGATGTCTGCGCTCCAAAACACAAACCACTTTTCTGAACATAAAGATGGAGCCTGAGGGCAAGACTTCACTTTGCATTCCAATCTCCCAGTTATTTTTATATATATATATATATATATATATATATATATATATAAAATATCTCTTAAGAATCTTTTAAAAAGGAGTGACAGGGAACTTGGTGGATGCCAAAAGAGGCACAACATTAGAGACCCCAGCCATATTTGCTATTATACCAACCGTTTTAACATTTATGCCAGAGAATGGAGGATTATATTATTGAACAAGTGAGTTTCTATTAAGTTAAGAAGATGGCATCATTCATAGCCAGGAGACAAAATATTCAAGCCATTCTTGCTTGAATGCGCAACCTTGCCCATGCTTTCAGTTTTTGAGATAGCTGAAAGAATCAGCTGTAAACCAGTATAACATCATAGGAAATATTTACCCCACCCAAAAAAGGTATAACATCCCTACAGAAGTGTAGCAAATCCAACAGAGTTTTTGATACTTGATCACTTTTGGCCCTCAGGTTGGAAATGCATTGAAAGTCTGTTGGACTCAAATGCAATCAGATTTCCAAGGTCACACCTTCCTGAACACCACAAGGCAAGTGATGCACAGCATTCCCTGCAATGATAACTAGCCACACAAGTGCTTACTTACCAAGATTCAGGGCTCCAGATAAACAAGACAAAAAAGTTGGATTGATATGCTGATTTATTTATATCACACTTGACTGTTTTGTTTCTTCTCCTTTGGGGTTGTTTTGTCATTACATTTTAGAACTTATTTCCATATGGAAAGAAACATCCATTAAAGTAAAAGATGGGATTCTTTCAGTTTTAAGAAAAAAGCATCTTGGTTCGTATTTAGCACTGAAGCCAACTCCTGCAGACTCATTACCTAGCTTTGGATGGGTGTGGTATGTGTATGTGGCTTTGCCTTGCCATACAATTCCCCAGGTGTTCCTGATTGTGCAGTAGTAATAGCTATCCACAGTAAAGTCTGGTTAAAATGAAGGGGAAAAAAATCAAGGCATGAGATTCAAGATTTCTGAGGGAGACAGTGGAAGCAGAAT